TTTTTTTTATTCAGCAAGGATGCATTAAATTGAACAGAAGTGACAGTAAAGACATTTATAATGTTACAAAAGCTTGCTATTTAAAATAAATGCTGTTCTTCTGAACTTTCTATTCATCATAGAATCCTGAAATAAAATATCATGTTTTTTTTTCATAAAAATATGAAGCAGCACAACTGTTTATAACATTGATAATAATCATTCATGTATGTTTGAGCAGCAAATCAGCATATTAAAATGATTTCTGAAGGATCATGTGACACTGAAGACTGTAATAAAGCTGAAAATTCAGCTTTGCATCACAGGAATAAATTACATTTAATATTACAATAGAAAACAGTTATTTTAAATTGTAATAATATTTCAAAATATTACTGTTTTTACTGTATTTTTGAACAAATAAATGATGCCTTATTTAATGCGCAAAATATAATAATCTTACCGACTCCAAACTTTTTAACAGTAATGTATATATAAATACAGTAGTAGTAAAATATAAAACACAAAATTATAAAGTATAATAAAATACATATTTATTTTAGAATCTAAATTTAACTTATGCAGTGCTGCTTCTCAAAGAAAAATTGATCCTGTATCAGGGATTTGTAGATATTTTAACTGGATAATTAGACAAACACTCATTAAGAACAGGATTTTCTGCAGTGAATGAAAATTCTGTAATTATTTATTCAGCTTCATGTGTTTGCACACTTGTACGTGATTATTTCATATTGAAGTTGAATGAATCTGATAATGCTTTCAGCTACCAATGAAACTCACTGCTTCATTTAACATGCTTAATTTCAGATTTCAATCAGATCATGAATTCAGATATTCATGAATTTTATCAATTCATTTTATCAATTCAGATTTCATTTTCAGATCATGAAAATGTCGAATGGTGCACAAATTCCATGTGGGACCAATTACGAGTGACGCCTTGGAAACAGTCGCAGTTCCCAGAGGAGAGAAAGAGAAAGAGAGGAAGGTTAAACACACACACAGAGACACACGACAGAGACTGGAGCTCTGGAACAGGACGGCTGTGCTCCGGTACCTCTAACGCTACGCTAAAATCCACCATGGACACGCTGGTGTTGCGATGCCAGCACACGTGAACCGTGGTATTACTACGGTGAGGCGTCTGCCACTCGAGAGACGTCCGTGAGGCGCTCAGGTCATCATCTGATTCCTGGTCAGCGCTAGATTCCTCAGGGGATTCTGGGAAATATGGGAAGAACAGCCATTTAACAAGAAAAGAATGAAAGGTTGTGATATCGATAGTAGAGCCCGACCGATATGGGTTTTTCGGGGCCGATAACGATACCGATATTAGGGAGTATATATTAGGGATATCGATATATCGGCCGATATTCTTTGTGTATATTATAGTACAGTACCAGTCAAAAGTTTGGACACTTTCCCATTCGAGGGTCCAAACATTTGACTGGTACTATATATAGAATACAGTATATACATAAACATAATATATATACATAAACACATTTTTTGCAATGATCACACAAATGTGGTGATCAAACACTTATAATGACGTGACAAAGATACGTAATAGAGGCAGGGCATTTAACAATTTAACAATAAACTTTATTATCCAAAATGAGGCAACAGTAAAGTTGAAGTTTATTCAACTTTAATTCAATTCAATTCCATTCAACTTTATTCCTTTGAAGGTTATTTAACTTCGGAACATTCATTCACGGATTTGCGCTACTGTCTTCACACACAGACGAAACTTACTAGAGAAGTGTGACATAATATACCTCTGTAAATAAATACAATATAAATTCACGTCTCACGCACTTTAATGCCCTTTGACTGTAACGTGTACATTCCTTTGGAACTGGAATCATGACGGAATTTCATGTGAAGTCCACTTCGCAGGGCACTTACGGTCGAATAAGACAACGCTTGAATGCTGCTGCCTGAACAAGAGACCTCCTTACTGAAGTGAAAGTGTTGACTGAAGTGAAAGTGTTGGCTGGTGTCACTATCTCGCGAACGCGCCGGCGGATCTCCACCAAATTCGGGGATCCCTTCAGCTCGAGGCTCTCGAACGCCACCCTCCGCGCGTCTGTAGCCCCCCGGGATTGCTTGATCGGTCGGCGCCGGACCGCGAATTTAATCACCCGTAACTCCCGAACCCCGGGGGCTATCGATGCGGGGGTAGTCTCATTCGAAAGCGGGCCTCTAGATGTACACTCGATTTGCGTTCGAGAGGGTTCCTCGAGCTGAAGGGATCCCCCGAATTTGGTGCGGATTCGGCACGCCGTTATGGAGATATGGCCGTTCAAAGTTTCAATAGTTTTCCATAGACTTAAGGCAGGCGTACACGGTGCGATTCTGAAGGTCGGAACGTCGTGAGCTCTGGCACGTCAATTATCGGGAGGACGGGAGGTGCTCGTAACTTCTCGGATCGGCCCGTAATTCTTCTCACACGGTACGAGCCGCGACCATGCGAGCATCTGCGATTTTCTCCCGAGAGAAAAAAAAATCGCCTGCGAGCTCGTATGACAGCAAAAATCGCACCGTGTACGCCCGCCTTTAAGCTTTAAAGCGTTTCATCCAGGTCGCCAGTAGCCAACAATGGAGCGCGCTCTGCTGGACAAACTAAGTAATTACACCATTTCAAGCATTTTATCTGCGTTATATGTTCTGTAAAAAAAATTTTCATATCGGCGGCATATTCGCCGATACCAATATCGGCAAAACGATATATCAGTCGGGCTCTAATGGATAGGTTATATGTTTTTGTACCATACACCATGGTAAATCCTATTTTTCCTCCAGGTACTGCAGAGTACCATGTCAATATCAGGGATACATAAATATGGTAATCATGGCATCTATCAAAGTACTCAATTACTGTGTGATTTCATCACTCTATTTTTGGATGGTGGCAGTACTATGGTACAGTGATGGTAATACCACGGTACTAAAATTCATTTACATGGTACTCCTAATTATCATGAATACCATAGTAATAACAAGTTACCATGTTCGATTAATATTATGTTATTTATTATTATTATTAATATGTGTATAGCATGTTTTTTTTGTTTTGTTTTTGGAAGTACCAACTACTACCAGTGTTGTATTACCATTATACCATTGTATTACCAAATTACCATTATACATTTTTGTAAGGTTATTTACTGTTTTTATTTAAAATAAAAATAATAAAGAAATACAACTTTATATACATTTATTCTAAAATAATTTAAACTAATTAAAATAATAATTTTATATATGAAATTAACAACATCAATAAATAAAGTAAATAAATAATGTATGCCACATATATGTAATAATAATAATAATAATAATAATAATAATAAATTAATAAGCAAACAAACATATTTCACAGAAAATTACAACATTCAATATAAAGCAGGTAGACGTTGTCCTCTGAAGTCAGAAAGGTTTTCATAAGGTCAAATATGAGACACAATGACAGGCAATAAAAACTCAATACACTGAAATCAGGTGTGAGTTCATGCATCAGGTCACGAGAGCAAACAGTCTCTTCACAATGACATCAAACTCCATGTCTAGACGGCAGGAACAATATGATGAAAAATAGCAGAAAAGATTTAGTTGATGTGAATAAAGCAGAAGAAAAGAGCACGTGTGTGTATCAGACTGACATGAAGAAGAGCTGCTGAAGGATTGCAGGACTGGAAACATGATGCTGAGATCCAGAGCACACACTGTTCACTACTGTCAACTACTGCTCTTAGGTCACACTCAAAAACGTAAGGATGTCATTGCATTAGACAACAAAACATCAAAGCACTACTCATCTGAAACATATACTTCTATGTCATGAAGCTCTTTGTAAGCATTGGCCTGTGTCAGATCAGAGTAGTTAACATGCAGATAATGAAATGGGAAAACGGTCAGTGACTTACTGCTGTCAGTGAAACTGCTGGACAGGATCTCAGCCGAGGGGCCATTGCATTTGTCCGCCAGTTCAATGGCCATCTTGATGTCCTCCACCCACTTCTCCATCTCAGACGCTGAACTGTGGAGAGGACGAGGATGTTATTACTGCAGCTACTGCCAATTAAAGTGCTGAGACAGTGATACTGTTACGATTACTGCAGGGAAGGGACACAGCACAGATCAGGCACAGCACATAGTAGATTAATAAATATTTACTAAAATACCGTCTAAAATAAATATTTATTTAACAACAACAACAACAATAATAATAATTATTATTATGATGTAGTAATATTAATATTATTAATATTATTATACTATTATTCATATCATTAAATGCACTACTACTACTACTAATTATTATTATTATTAAAAACTAAAAATGTCTTATTATCTGATTATAATTATTAGTACAATTATTATTATTTATACATTATAATAAATAACAATAATTGTTCAAATTGTTTACTATTAGTAGTAATAGTAATACAAATAACAATATATAAAGTAAATATAACAACAACAATAACAAATAATAATAATAATTATTGTTATTATGAATATTACTATTCATATTACATATAATACTACAACTACTGCTACAACTACTGCTGCTGCTATATTATTAGTAGTATTAGTATTATTTTTTTAAAAAGCTTATAGTTACTTTTTGGCTTGAACTGTGGTCTGTACTATCAGAATTCAATGACGGGTCTATCCATTTTATTCAACTCATTTAAATATCCTGTAGTATTTCTGTTTTTTTTTTTTTCTGTTGTATTCATTCAGTATAGATTTTCTCCAAACTCATTTCAGTCAATGTATTTGAAACAGCTTTAATGTAATGTTGCAATACAACTGCACTAGATCACAGAACAATAACATTGCATAACTCTTTATAATCTGCTGATACTGAATGTGATTTCCTTGGAACTGCATTTCACAATTTATATAAGCATCATGATGCTCCCATGAATTTCTTGAGCACGACACACAATAAAAAGGCACATTTGCACATTGAACTGCATATCCGTTTTCCTCAGACAGACAACAAGGACATAAGACAGCATGGACACTCATAAGCATAAAGCCAGCCGTCCATGTAATAATTAACCAGTTAAACCCTGAACATGTTAGCTAGTGAATATGTTAATTACCTGGCAGCCACGACGACGGACTGTCTCTGTCCAAACAGAGTGAAGGAATGTGGGACGCCCCACTCGTCCTCACTTTCACGGATCTACACAAACAGACCAACATGATAGATTAATCCATCAGTTAGAAACATGCTGACCATGTGGATGCATTTTACACAGAATAATTAATAATAATAATAGTAATAATAACCCTGTACCGAGGTCTGAATATAAGCATTCCTTATTTTTCAATTAAAACCTCATCAAGACAGCAATTTAACATCTGAATGTTGCATGTTTCTGGATAATTACATTTACATGCAATATGCAATTTTGGGAGAAGCGCTGGAGCTGCGGCCTGCAGAACAATGGAGCTCCTGTTTGTGTGAATGTGCAATTAGTAACTAGAGATGGAGGCAGCGGGAACGTGGCCAAAACAAACAGTCAGTCTGTGCTAAAATACAGGGAATGCTGTTGTAAAAGTACCGTCAATGAAAAGAGTTATATATGTATAGACCTGAAGGAACCATCACTGTTTAAGTCCAAGTCAAAAATGAATCAAATATTACGCACCGTCATGCCATACAGAGGAAGCTGGCCATGCACTTTGAACTGATTGGAGGCCGTCATCCCTCGACTCGTGTACATCAGAACATCATTGAACTGAAAACATATTCAAGATAAATACATTAGCGTTCATTATTTTACCTCTCCTAAAAACATCAAGAAAGATGATTCACTTAAATTGGCATTCCAAGGCACTTTAAAGAACATCATAGTATTACTATAGCAAGGTTTCAAAAAACATAATATCATGGTACGTTTAATTTTTTTATGAAATCAATACTTTGCTCTGGTAATAATAAAATAAAATTAAATAAAACCAATATATTAATAAATGAAATAAAACACAAAATATAACAAAAACACAAATAAATAATAATAAAATAAAAAACAAATAAAACAAAATAAAATAATAATAAAATTAAAGACAAAATACATATAATAAAAACACAAAAATATTAATAATTAAAAAAACAAACAAAATAACATTAAAAAGTATGATCAAATAAAACATGAATGAATATAAATAAAAATAAAAAACAAAAGATAAAATGATCAAATAAATTAATAGAAAACAAATATAACATTAAAAACAATACAATAAAACAAAATTGCAAATATAGAAATGAAACAGAAAATAATAAACTATCAAATAAAACAACAAATTTAAACAACAACAACAACAACAAATAATAGAAATCAAAGGATAATAAATTATGAAATAAAACATTAGTATAAAGTACTTTTCTACTATTCACAGTACATTTAGGTATCATAGCAATCAAACCACCACAGTACTTTTAATAAAGGATGCAGCATGGGAAGCATAATTCTAACAAACCATCTAGCTGTATTATGTAGATGTAACTAGTATATGGAAGCAAGCAGCTCTCACCAAGAAGAACATTCTCTGCTGTAGACCTTTTCCAGAGAGTTTGCTGAGACAACCAAGTCTGATAAACTCCTGACAAAACAGACACAACCAGGTCAACGAGAGAGATCAGCGCATTCATAACTCGTTCATATTCAGGAACATGATTGAGTCATTTTTGATTTCATGAACTAACCCGTCCAGGAAGTGCAAGATTGTCGATGCCAATGAGGTCTTTCTTGAGCTCTAGAAGCTTCTGGAAGTTCTCCATCTTAATGAGGGTGCCGTGAAGCTGCACAACCATCTCAGAAACATCAGCAAGCGCAGCTGGAACAGACGAAAAGGATCTTTAGAACATTAAAGAACTGAGATTGAACTCTGAGATTAAAGCAGCTGTCCCATGTAGTACCTCGCGAGTCTCTGAAGTCGTCGTGTGTCGGTGGATAGTGTTTGCAGAGTCGCTCGAGGATCTGTTTGTAGTGCATGAGGCGGTGCAGCGGCCGCAGGAAGAAGATGTTGAGCGGCAGATAACAGACCTTCTGCAGCTCAAAGTCTCGACACAGACCCTCCAGCTTCCGGGATGAGCGACACATCCTCTCCAGCTCCAGCAACGCTTCCGAATGCTTCTGGAGATGAGCCGTCAGCAGCTGAGAAGCCAAAAAGTTAATTGAGTTGAGTTAATTTATCTGTGGTGGTGGCATCAGATAATAATAATACTATGGTACTTCAAAGAATACAACAGTGTTACCATCATACCATGGCCAAAAACACATTACCTGGATGTGTCATGATATTGGATGATGATACTCAAAGAATACCATGGCAAAAAATATACATAACTATTATTGTTGTTATTGTTTTGAAGAGATGTTTTCAAACATTTGGATGGCAATTTTTATTTCCCATTTAATATCCAATTTTATATATCCATGTTACATCTCACAGCCAAGCTCTAGAGAACAACACAATGTCCAAAACGCATATCTCACTGATATCAAAGTGGATCACAGAAAGATCTAGATGTTCTCACCTTCAAACCCTGGATATTCTTCAGCATTACATCTCCAATACGCTGGTAGTCTCCTTTGATGTGTGCATTGGATCTGCCTTCCCTGAGAACAATGAATAGAATGCATTTCATATATATATATATATATATATATATATATATACATACACACACACAAATATATATATATATGAAATAAAAATATCTTAAAATTATTTATTTAAAGACATTTTATCATATTTTAAGAATTTTTTTTTTACACATATCAAAAGTTATCAAAAGTATTATAGAAATTCTTAAAATATCCTGATTTTTATGTGGATTTTTATCCCTTTTCACAGCACCAGTCCCCATTTACTTTCAATGCATGAGTATGCTGTAAATTCTACTAAAGTTTTAATTTTGGGTGAACTGAAGTTCTTATGTCATCCAGTAGATGTCTCTGTTGCACATCGATCTACGCAGACTTACTGAGTACCTGAACATCAGTGAACTCAGTGTCATCTATCACGCTGTTGAGCCATTCCCTGCTCCTCACCGAGAGCCATCACACCAGCCACCACCACACACAAAAACCTCCATTTATCATCCCGTCCTTTAACACGGGTCCAAACCCACTCCCCACAGAGCAGTATTAAACATTACAGCCGCGCTGGAGAACATTTAAGTCAGCAGAGCTCCAATAGTTACTGTCAGGACACGTTATGTGTGTATAGCCTGATACTACAAGTTTGTTCTGTGTGCCATGACTTAACGCTTTTTTTAACATTTCTAGTAACTTATGCTCTAAAAGACATGAGATGGCAGGTGTGGCTGATGGTACAATGTTAATTTGGATAATATGGAAATATATCTTTATTTCTAAAGAAATAAATATATAAAACATAGAAATAGATATAAATATGTAATAGAACAGAAAATAAGTTATTTAAATGTTATATTCAATAATAATATTCATAATATTCATATACTATATATAAAAATACTATCAATAAATATTCATATTTATTTATTTTACAAATAATATTGATCCTGGTCAAGGTTGATAAATGCTGGTATATCTAGTGACTAGGAAAACTTAATTTCTTAATTTGTGAAGCCTGTTGACTAAACAAATCTTGCTAGTTAAACCAGTTATGCAACCTGAAGGGGGATACCAGAAAACAAGTATTGAATTACGCAATATTATGAACATAAAGGGTTTTGTTAGGACCAAAGTGTAGCAGAAAATGTTTAACTTATGAAAATAATGTCATTTCCACATTTTCTGTATGTAAAATATAATTTCCAATCTTTTTTTCTTTGATTTTTTGCTGGGTAATATGGCCTAGGTATTTCAATCATGCGAGGTTAATTTCATGTCATGTTACGACCAACTAGATCTGATTTGGCGTAATAATTGTTTGACAAGCAGATGAAAAGGCATCAAACAATGTATTAAAATACTGAATGACACATTGAGGTGTGTGTCTGTTATGGTTGGAGCAGTTTGTACACATTCCTGACACCAATATAACAAACACACTTAACTGAAATACACACCACTGAGCCAGTCGCTGCTCCACGTCTTTCAGAAAGGTCTCGTGAAATTTGCACACAGGTTCAAAATTGGCAAATATGAGATTCCTCAAGGAATCCGGCATGGCTTCATCCTTCTCTACAGACTTCTGAAAGGACTGAAAACATACAGAAAGGAAGAGAAACATAAGAATAGAATATTTTCATAGCATTCATGTTCTGGATGAGTTGTAGAAGAATGTAGCTCATCAAACTCTTATTCAAAATCAACTATCCATGATATGAGTCTTTAAACTGTCTACAGTAAATGGAGGAACACATCAACCCCCTGAAGCTTTTGTAGACGTTTTCCATCGTCACATCACTATAACACTATAACAACACTATAAAACCATTTGACTTCTTCATATAGATCCAAACATGAGCAGATCAGCAGACAGTGCGATGATTATCTCAAACAGACTGTGTGACGTGATGACAGAAGAATCCATGAATAAAGACTCTTTGTCTCTTTATTCTCATGTTCTGGACACTGCAAAACATCCACTGCGACTTCAGTCCTTGCAAAAAATATTCTACACCAAGAAACACCCTAGACACCACCCAAAAATCCTTAACAACATGTTAGCTACCAACCAAAAACCTTAGCAACATGTTAGCAACTATTTAGAACATCCAAAGAACTGCTTAACATCCTAGCAACCAATAAAAAAACCTTAGCTAGCAACACATTAGCAACTATTCAGAACACCCTAGAAACTGCTTAACATCCTAGCAACCAAACAAAAAAACCTTAGCAACCTCCTGGCAACATGTAAACAATTATCCAGAACACCCTAAGAAGTGCTTTTTAAAACCATAGCAACCAACCAAAAAACTCAGCATCCAGCCCAAAACATTAGCAACCACATGCTGGTGATTATCCAGAACACACTAACAACTGGAAAACCTTAGCAACCACCTAGCAACATTCTGGTAATTATCCACAACACCCTAATGCTTATTAAGTACACAGTATAAACCAACTTAAAAAAAAAGAAAAAAAAAAGAAAAGAAAAACTCTGCAACCATGCTAACAATTATCCAGAACACCCTAGTAACTGCTTATTATAACCCTAGCAACCACCTAAAAACATACTGGGAATTATTCAGAACACTCAAACAACTGCTTATTAACCAGAGCTCTAACAACCAATCAGAAAAAAACGTTAGCAATCGTTTAGCAACATATTAGCAATTATTCAGAAAACCCTAGCAACTGCTTTTAACTCCTGAGCAGCAACCTTAGCAGGCACCTAGCAACATTCCCCAGACTACGCTAGTAGCTGCTTATTAACACTCTAACAAGCAAACAAAAAAAATTAGCATTACTTAGTAGCATATTGGTGATTATTCAGAACACCATAGCAGCTGCTTATTAACACCCTAGCAACAACCTTAGCAACCACCTAGAAACGTGCTGGGGATTATACAGAACACCCTAGAAACTGCTTATTAACCCTAGCAACATGTGGGCGATTATCTAGAATACCCTATAAACTTAAAACTAGGGATGCACCGATACCGATACTGGTATCGGGCCCGATACTGGTCTCCTGTACTCGTACTCGTTAAAATGCCCCGATACCAAACGCCGATACCACACAGCATGTGATAAGCGCCATATTCAAACAAAGAAACACCGACAACAGAACAATAGACAGCAGAAAGGAGTTAAGGATGTCTACTACGAAGTATATGTATGCAATGAATATAATGTTAAACATTCAGTATTGCCTGTATAGCTGATGTGCGCGAGCTGCTGAGCAAAGCACGCTGAGTGGATTGAGCGCGCGGTGGTGCAGATGCGCAAGCTTGTCGAGTGAATATATCTTTCTCACAGACATCACTGGATCAGTTGTAGATCCAACATCACTGGATCACTGGTCGGATATGTCAAAAACAAGTAAGTAAAACAATGCACAAGTTACTTAAC